TATATATATATGTATATATACATATATATATATGTATATATACATATATATACATGTATATATACATATATATACATATATATGTATATATATGTATATATACACATATATATATATACACATATATATATATATTAGTTCAAGTTGAAGTACTTTACTCGTGTCATGTCATGTGCACAACAATTACAGAGAAGCAATGGCTGGCAATGACAATCTTAGATCTCAGGCTCCGTCCAACAAATGCTCATTAAATATGTATATATATATATATATAAGACTTAAAAATAGTGCATAAGTTAAAACATAGGGATAAAATATACACAAATCAAATATAAAATTAATTAATATCAATTTGTGGTAGACAGGTCTGCAGTAATTGCTATGATTTAACAGGAATATAATGTAAATGTATTTGCGCAATGAGAAGTAATCAATATATACACAGAGATGTAAACAGGTTGTAAAACAGTAAGTATTGTGTATAAACGAGCAGCATTTTGTAAAACTACACTACTGCTCATCTTTATCTCTGTCAGTGATGCCCACATGTCTGCTCTGGTTTCATTTGAGTTGTTATAAATACAAAGCATATTTTCAGCATCCTATCACAGCCCATTCCATGTTTGTCCTCCTAATTGTGAGTGAGTGATGCTGGTCAGACCGTCATGGGTGACCTGCCCCAGTCAATAGGGAGGAAATGTGGCTGCGTCAGCAGGTCTGGCTGAGGGGATGTGAACCCACTGACAGGGACTGGAGGAGAGCCACGTAGATGCTACTATTTTCAGCAGCAGCAGCAGCAGCACGGGCTGTATGTGCTATGCTGTCTGCCACTTTATGTTGGACTTCTATCCAAGTTTATAAAGACTAAGACACCCAGAATTAGCATTTTGGAGCCGTAAACATGATGCTAATGAGGTACTCAAAATTCAAAAAAGCAACATGCATCTTTAAAAAAAAAGTAATCTGCGTCTACATTGAAACACATAGAACATACCACACTAAAAGACATTTGCAAGAGTTCTTATGTACAGATATTCTGCATCCACTATTAGTGAAATGTCCTACAAGTTTAGAAGTTTTTTGCTGCAACATAGATGTCAGTCTATCTGCCAAGTATATGCAGCCTGCAGTCCTCTAGAGAGAGGCCTACTTTCCCTTCAGCTCTGTCCCCTGCATCTTAATGAAGGCCGGTGTGGGAGGGAAAGATCTCTCAAACAACAAGATTACCGCCATTCTCCTACTTTGTGGGAACTGGGGTATTGACCCACTCATGAGTGTCAGAGAGCACAAAGCAGAGCAGCGCACACACAGAAAAAAAGCCACTCCTTCTTCTTCTTCCTTTCCTCTGCCCAGACTACAAAAAAGACAAGCGGGCATTTATCCCCTCCAGACACTGCAACCAACGGGCTTTTTCATGACATCGGCCTGCTCACGTCCTCCAGTCCACATCCAGAGCCATTGACTCGGTTTGGAGGAGACATGCCGTCTCAATGAGAGTGGCTTTGTGTTGTGTGTGGGTGTGACCAGCAAGATGTTTTCTAGACCTGTTGACATTATTGATAGAGTCTGTTTCATTTATGTGATTTCATTAAGGTACATTGATTATACAGAATTGTCACTTAGGCCTCTCTAAAAATCTGAATACAGACGTCCTTAATGTCTTTAAAGGTGATCAGTGTTGGGCGCTTCCTTATTGGTGAAAATGTCCACTGCAATATTTATTTTACATGACACTGCAATTTACCGGCTTGTAGAAGTGATATATACTGTACTGTGGGGAATCAAGCCCACAAGGTAACTGAATGGTGGATGCAGGTCTGACGAAATCGTTTGCACAGTCTTGTGGTGCTTATATTAGATATTATAACTATTTCTGATTTTACTGTAATTTATAAATAGATAAAACCTACATTCCTGAAAAACAAAAGCCCAATATTTCTCTATATTTATATCTTGTTGAATGAGCCACAGTAAGTTTGTACTGCAAAGCTACTGTGGTGGGTTCTCTCAGGAGGTCTCCATACAAACACAGTTTAGGAATACGTTCGTGAATAAGCAGGAGCCGACCAAATTAGAATTAAGTGAAGAACAAGCGAACACCATACTAATTATCATGGTAACATGCTTCATTAAAAACAACGGATCCACTTTGTGTGATGAGAAAAATTCGAATTCACAGATTAAGTCAAACAGGACGTCGCCAAGGACATTTCAGTGGTATCCACACGGCAAATACATCGAAGTTTACGCTGCTGACAGCAAAATACTCAGAAGAAGTAGCTCTGTGCCAACAAAATGTAGTCGCCCTCACGCTGGGAGATCCTGGAGGGACTTCATAAGAACCCATGTTTTGAGATTTCCTTTTAAAGATTATAAGTGTTTAATCTACCAGGGAACTACATCACAAAACGCAACAAATCACACAGTTAAAACAAGTCGGCCCAAAAAAGCCACCCAGCTTGTTGTCTAGTCACCCATGACATGGGGGGGGGGGATGGCTAAATTAGGACAAATGGTAAATATTTCAGGAAGCCTCATCCATTATTGACCAATGGCTTTACCTTCCTAAGCAGACTACATATCGAGTATCTTTCCAGTCTCCTCACTCTGCACCGGATAACCCAAGGAATGTGGGTGCTCTAAACTACATACTTAAAGAATATATACAACAAATGGCTGCAAAAACAAATACAGTAGGTTTAGGCAGGAAACCTTACTGTAGCTATAGGCAGGTACACAAATGTTTGTATGGGGTATTTAATGTTGACAAAATCATTCGTTTTCTTTAAAAAATGTATCTACTAGTATACGTATTAAATAGTTACATTAGGGGCAGATTTGAATGGAAAGACTAACGTTGAAAATGTTGAATGAGGAGCCATTTTTAAACGTGGCTTAATCTGGCCACATGAACACATAACAGGCCTTGCCCTAAATAAATATCAGGCGAAATATGCAGGAGATTATGTCACCTCGAGCACGATGATCAATAGACTTCCTGACGCAGTGATACATTTACATCACTGCTCTACTAAGAGTGGCCCCTTAATTAGACAATCTCAACAAGGTTGACATTTTCTCCGTAGATGAATAAAAATATTTTGCGTCTTCAATATTCTTCTCATGAAATTAAAGCTGATTCTAAATACATTTCCTGCTCATATCACATGTTTTGGTACAGGCCTGCTTGTTCACAGGAGATTTGCACAGTCACTCCTGGTACTGTGCAATCTATTCATCTTTCCAGTAAACCCCTTGGACAGGGGGTTCAGGGGTCAAGGTCAGCAATCGCTCTGAAAAGCCTGAACCTGCGCCTTCTGGTAGAAAAAAGGATTTCCCAGCTCAAAGCTTACATCTAGCTGGGTGCCTTGAATAAAAACAATAAAAACAAGTACACATAACACACATGCTGTAGGTGAATGTTAGGCTTTTCTTACTGGTGGTGTTTCCAGACATCTGAATGATGCATTTGCTGTCTTTTCCGATCTCCCTTGAGTTGAAGGGGCGGACACGCACCGCCACCTTCACAGAGGCCCCTGACATGACGCGGTCTTCCAAGCACCTTGGGGTGCCTTCTTTAGTGGCCAGGTGTAGGGCCCGCAGGTCTGTAGAATGGAGCACAAAGTGAATCTTGATCAATACAATTCTTAGTTTTATCAATACATGTGCACAGGACATGCTGCAACAGACGTACGTCACCTTTTTTGTCACGAAACTGAGGTGTATTTTTTATTTCTTTTACATTTGTGTTCAAAGTTGTGAGGACAGAACATGAGACCTTATGGTTGACGTGACGAGCACAATTGAAGTGGGCAGGGCTGTGTGGCTGTAACATGAAAAGACCACGCATGGTCAGCTACAGCCAAGGGAGACGGATAATAAAGCTAGCAGCAACAAAAGAAGTGCAGCAGCAGCAGCTAAATGTCAGGCTATTTCTCCGGCTGACAATGGCTCCGAAAACCAGCCACAAATCCAGCGTCTGGCTCCGATCGGCGGCTCGGTCTCATGAACAACTCGTCCCCTAAAAGACGAATTACCAACATGAAATCACTGTGGGAGTTTAGCGTGTGGTGTCATCGCGAGTGTATCAGGAGCAACCGTGACTCATCATCCTCTGTGGCGATCAAATTACAATCATTTAATGTGTTCATCAATAAGCTTTAACAGTGAGCAACAGGATACAAGCAGCTTTCACCGTCTAACTGTGAATATCATAAAGCTATCATCATTTATAGCTATCAAATATATTATTTATTAATAGGGAAAAATGTCATTGCTGTAACTTAATTTATGCCCCAGATGTGGGGGATAATGTTGGATGTTGCATTAATATTCAGAGTATGTCCCTATGTGCTTTGTGACTCAGATGTTAGTCATCGTAATTGAGTGTTGTAAATTTGCTGTGTCACCCTGCTTCCTGGTACACCCTCTCCAGCTGGCCCCTAAACAGACTCATTAGTAAAATGTATGCAGGTTAACATTGCTGCTATAGGAAAACAGTATTTGGGTTTTTAAGGTCAACCCGCACAGTATACTGAAGACTAACTGGGACTGATTAAAAAAAGGAATAATAGAAAAGATTCCACATCAAATGCCATGTTATTTTGATGTCTGACATGAAGGGATGAAGATCCACATGCTTAAAGCATGTCCTATGTTCACCCACTGTCACAGACTATGTTTTGTATAGAAACAAATTTCTGTTGATTTAAATCTGCAACACCCATGTTCATAATCTTCTCCTACAGATGCTCAGACCAATCAGCTGATGATGCAGCTCAGCTGGGCGGCCACCATTTTCCCGGCGACAAAGGCTAATGTAATAAACCATGCTGGTGTGTGTTTGAACATGACGACAGTTTGATACATTTTTTCCTTATCCCTCATAAAAACATATTTAATTGACAGTGTTTTAGCATGACAGTGAGGCCATACACCTCAGGTCAACGCTAGCTTAAGACTCGTATTTCGTTGGGCTAAAACTGATAATTCGTCTCTGTGAAATACTTTCTTTAAAAATATTTCTTGCGTCATTTTGAGAGCTTATAGGTTACAAGCTAACATCACTGAAATCAGCAGGTGTAGTCTACCAGCAACAGACTGAATTGTACCTTTCGCCCAATGACGGGGCGTTTATTCCCGTCGTCCTGCTCACGGAATTAAAACACATTTTATTCAACAACATAAGCTATAATATATCATGGTGTGCTGTGTTACAGAGATGCGTTAATGTCATGCTGTCTCTATAGTATCTTTCCGACAGTGACAGCCTTTTCAATGGCCGCACCCTATGCTCATCTCCTCCCAGGAGATTCAACACTAAGTAAATAAAGGATGTCTCGTTGAAACTGCGTTACAGGCGGAATAATGGACACATTTTAATAAAAAAAAAAAAAAAGGTTACCTTACCTCCGCAGTGCTAATAGCGACGTGCTCCCGTGTCGAGACCGTGTTTGTCGTGCCCGTCTGTTTTATTATCCAGCTCCGTATCTACTTCTACCTCCTCTGGTCTCCTCCAGGTCTGGTACTGCCTCTTGCTAACAGCCGCCCCGCTCCATGAACACGGGAAGGGCTGAGGTTACCGCCGACCCACCTCCTCTCTCTCTCTCTCTCTCTCTCTCTCTCTCTCTCTCTCTCTCTCTCTGCACTGCCCTGCCAGTGGGGAGGAAAAGGAAGGGGACACCGGTCGGTTGCTCGGCCGCTTTTTCGCACTCCAAAGTGGTCAAAATGGCCCTATTGTCTCTGCCCGTCTTTGGTAAGGATGCTCGAGCTCCACTGAGCCAGTGACATCACCGCCGAGGGAGGTAACAGCATCAATGCAGTAGTGGGAGGAGAGAGGGAGAGAGAGGGAGAGAGAGATGAGGGGGAGGCTGGGAGAAAGATTAGTATCCCTCTTATAACACCTTTAATACAAACTGCGGTGTTAATACTTCTTATTTTAAGTTTAAACAACAGCAGATAGCTGGGATACAATAGTTTTGTTAGGGTTGAAACAGAGTTTACTTCCAGGACAGTTTTGAAAACAGTGGACAATTAGGAGCATAAAAACGCGTTTGTGATGAATTTAGTAGGTCAAGCCAGGGACATCCAGCTGAGGGGAGACAAAGTGGCTCAAAGCAGGTCTTTGCACCATGGAAACTGCCTGTTTAGTGGAGCTGATCTCAGAGCAGCTTCTGATCACAGAAACAGAAATATAGCAGAAATGTTATCATGTTTGTTTTGCAGATGTGGTGTCCCTGTATGCATCTTTCTGATGGTTGTCGAGCAGTTTTGCAGGTTTTATAGTCAGCCTGTGCCTACAGTCTCTGTTAACTGTGCAAATACTAAAAGTTAAATGGTAAACACACAATATAGGCCTTTTTTTACAGCAGATATTTTACTCGTCATAGGAAAAGTACAGGTGTTACTAATGACATTAACAATGGCTACGTTCCATTCATTGTTTACACCTGCGCTTTTTCTGACACGTCAAAACGTATGAATCTGTGGACTATAGTATAGAATATCTTACATTTTCAAAAAAACAGTCAATGTAAAATGTAAATATCAGCGTAATAAAAAATGATGGTTAATAACAACAAACATCATATCAACATATAATGGAACCTCTTTTTAGTCAGAGAGAAAAATATCCATATTTGTAGTGCGGCCTGTGTAAATGTTAGACCTATAAAGAATTGAGTGTAAACAGACGAAGATGAAAAGTAACATGTGGACAGATGTTGGCGAAGCTCTCAGACAGTCACTGAGCTGATTGGAGAGGTGAGAGGACCGGTCCTCATTATAGAATAGAATAGAAATGTACTTTATTCATCCCCAAGGGGAAATTTGTCTTTGGCAGCAGCAAACTTATGTCAACGTGTCCTTGTGCATGTGACCTAACCCACACTCTACAGGACAGTAATGGGTTGGTGGGCTGACGAGGTCCAGATCCATACATTTTCTTCTCACTATCATCCATCTGAAGCTATTGAAACTATTCTGCACAGTGGAATATTTTTCTAGCACAACGCTGTCTGGATTCTGAACTGCAACGCTTATGTTAAAGTACTTCCGAACTGATTAAATTATATAAATCTGGTTCTTTCTGTTGCATGCATTGAAAAGAAATACAGAGTTCAATTGCACGTGAGGTTTAGCAGCAATAAAGGTAGTGAACAGGAACTCTCTCTCTGGTAGAAGGATACTTTGGTTGCTCAGGTTTCAGCCTGAGTGAAACACAATGCAATTGTGTTTTGTGACCTTGCTCTTTGCACAGTCCTACCATTCCTATTGCCTACTCTCTCTCTCTCTCACTCTCTCACTCTCTCGCTCTCTCGCTCGCTCTCTCTCGCTCTCTCACTCTCTCGCTCTCTCGCTCGCTCTCGCTCTCTCTCTCACTCTCTCTCTCGCTCTCTCACTCTCTCACTGTCTCGCTCGCTCTCTCTCTCTCTCTCTCTCTCTCTCTCGCTCTCACTCTCTCGCTCTCTCTCTCTCTCTCACTCTCTCTCTCTCTCTCTCTCTCTCTCTCTCTCTCTCCCCCCCTCCCGCTTGGACACATTTGCTTGACGTGAAACATCTCTCTTGCCCCCCCCCCCCGTCTTCTCCACTTCTATCTGATGCAATTGCTTTATTTAATTCATCAGCATTAAGATTTCACAATCTAATCCGTGTACAGAAATAAGATACAGTTTTGCAGCGTAGCCACGGTCTGCCAACACCATGCAGAAAATTGAGATAAAGATGATAGAGAGGGATCAATTAATGAGCGTGAATCACAACGGATAATAAAGGATGATGTCACTGGCATGAATCCTGAGGTAACCCGGGTATGATTGTCCTCCCCGGTTTTAAAAGTGGGCCAAGCTAAAGGCTCAGTTTTATAAGTGAACATAAAAAAAGGAAATGGCCTTTGATTATTTAGAAGTACCAGCGTCCACTACAGGAAGAAGCAGGGGGAGCGGTTGATATTGTTTCTGCCCAGCCTCCCGGCTCTGTTCTGCCATGTCTAAATGCAGTGGCACAGGAGCCTGAATAATTTATTGGTAGAGCAAGGTGTTGCCTTGAGCCTGTTGTGACAGACGTGTTTTCTTTAAGAGATGCACTTGGCGTGTGTCTATCAAAGCCTGTAGAGCAAATTTCCAACCCAAGTCCTATTGGATGTGGAAACAAACAATTTAACTGCTTTCGACTAATTCTTCCAGTGGTCTGCAAAAGATTCGCATATTGGATCATCCCAACTATATTTCATCTGGCATAATTCCTGCAGCATTGATTCAACAGGGAGTGTGAGAGGAGCAACTTTTGCATTTATTTCATCTCTAATCCTGATAAAATAACATATTTGGAGTGAAGTTGCTGAATCTTTAGTCCAGGTCCTATTTGACCTAAACTTTTGGGTCCTCTGAAATGGCTTGTAACACTTTCCAGCCAATCCGGTCTCATTCCCTTAAAGCTACCTCCAATGTAAACCCAACCGCTTCATTATTAGACAGTCAGAGGAAGTGACGTGTAAAGAGTGAGGAAGTCCACTTAGAGAGGGATGGGTGGGGATGGGTAGGGTCAAACAAACACAGGACTTTCACCCGGAGACGGCTGTTTGCGTCGCCAGTTGCGTAACTAGTTATTTTATGTATTAAAGGTACTTAAAATCCCTTCGTTGTTTTCCCATTCAACAGAGAATTCACTTCAAAGTCCTCCCATTGTTTTTTACGGCACTATACGTGGTTCAGCCCCCCCACCACATACCCCATCAGAGCTCTTAGATCTTCAGACAGTTGCTCTTTGTTCGTACCTGGAATAAGATCTGGAGCTGGTAATGGTGCTTTTAGTTATCTATAAAACTTTATGTACATTTAAAGCTAAACTGAAAACCCTACTGTTTTCACAGGCCTATAGGAACAGTGCTATAGTGAGCAAACCATGTGTGCGTAAGAATGAATGTATGTATGTAAGTGTGTATGTAGGTATTGGGTGTATATGTATAAATATGTTTTTTTCTTTTATTCTCTGTATTGTTACACCAATGCTTGATGTTTATTTTGTTTGTATTTAATTATTTTTTGTCTCTTTGTTCTTTTATTTTTCTTTTAAATGTAAAGCGTTGCCTCTGGTGGTTCACTGGCAACAAATATAACTGATTCATTTCTCCAATTATCAACATGATGGCACAAAATGAGCCCCTGAAGTGTAAAAAAACAGATGATGAAGTCTTACATTTGGCTCCAACTGGTGGCAGAACTGATCTTTGTCCGAGTCATACATGGACACGCCCCTCTCGCTAGAAGCTTGAGGAAATTTGGAAAGATGAAGAGGAAAAGGGAGAATATGGAAATATGACAGATGATTTTAAAAGGTAACGCTAGAACATAAACAACTTAAACAACGTCTAATCAAACTAGCACTGTTTGCATGGTCTGTGTACCAGCACACTTTTATAATACGAAATGTTAAATATACGAAAGCAGATTTCTATTTTTCAAGAAACGGCTCAAGGATAACATATTTTGGGTGGATCAATTATTCAGTTGTAATGGCATTTTAATAAATTATCAGAATTTTTTCTTTAAAAATAGATACCTGCAGCTCCTAAACACTTCGCCATGGGTCCCAATTCCCATACTGAAACCATTCATGTATAACCAAAAACTATGACAATTTAATGTTTTTAATTAAGTTACTGTTTATTTATTCATGTTGACCCCCAGCATGTTTTATGTTACTTTATTTATTTAAATTGTATGTTTATGTTTTTACTTATTATCCCTTCATTTGCTTTTATATCTATTTAGTTTGATTATTAAATCAATGTTTACTTGTATTGTCAGCCAAGTATTAAGAAAAATGACTATTACTTGGCCCTCTGTCAATTTACAGTTGGAACACCAATCCTCCTAGCAACAACAGCAAAATTCTGATTGGTCATCGAAGGGGCTCATTCATTTAAAAAGTTAATTTTATTCTCATTTTACAACAGGGTTGTGCAACATAATGCAGTTTGTAGTTACTATATAAATTACTATGTAAAACTGATGACTTTTTAAATATCGGAGGGTTCCCTAAAACATTATTTAGATCATGAGAAACTACAAAAGCAATGCAAATGTCAGTACAGTGCTACGGAAAGTAGTCAGACCCCTTTAAATTTTTCACTCTTTGTTTCATTGCAGCCATTTGCTAAAATCAAAAAAGTTCATTTTATTTCTCGTTAATGTACACTCAGCACCCCATCTTGACAGAAAAAAACAGAAATGTAGAAATTTTTGCAAATTTATTAAAAAAGAAAAACTGAAATATCACATGGTCATAAGTATTCAGACCCTTTGCTGTGACACTCATATTTAACTCACATGCTGTCCATTTCTTCTGATCCTCCTTGAGATGGTTCTACTCCTTCATTGGAGTCCAGCTGTGTTCAATTAAACTGATTGGACTTGATTAGGAAAGGCACACACCTGTCTATATAAGACCTTACAGCTCACAGTGCATGTCAGAGCAAATGAGAATCATGAGGTCGAAGGAACTGCCCAAGGAGCTCAGAGACAGAATTGTGGCAAGGCACAGATCTGGCCAAGGTTACAAAAGAATTTCTGCAGCACTCAAGGTTCCTAAGAGCACAGTGGCCTCCATAATCCTTAAATGGAAGAAGTTTGGGACGACCAGAACTCTTCCTAGACCTGGCCGTCCAGCCAAACTGAGCAATCGTGGAAGAAGAGCCTTGGTGAGAGAGGTAAAGAAGAACCCAAAGATCACTGTGGCTGAGCTCCAGAGATGCAGATG